ATTTCTTCTATACCTACTTCATTAAGAATTTTTGGTTTTATCATAAATGGGTGTTGAATTTTGTCAAAAGCTTTTTCTGCATCTATTGAGATGATCATATGGTGTATCATGTTGATTGATTTGAAGATATTGACACTTGATTATGGTGGATGAGCCTTTTAATGTATTGTTGAGTTTGGTTTGCTAATATTTCGTTGAGGATTTTTGCATCTATGTTCATAAGGGATGTTGACCTGTAATTTCCTTTTTTTGTACTGTCTTTGTCTGGTTTTGGTATCAGGGTGATGTTGGCCTTGTAGAATGCATTTGGAAGCATTCCTTCCTTTTCAATTTTTGAAATAGTTTGAGAAGGATAGTTATTAACTCTTGTTTAAATGTTTGGTAGAATTCACCTGTGAAGCTGTCTGGTCCTGAAATTGTTTGTTGGGAGTTTTTTGATTATTGATTCAGTTTCATTACTAGTAATGGATCTGTTCATATTTCCTATTTCTTCCTGATTCAGTCTTGGAAGATTGTATGTTTCTAGGAATTTATCCATTTCTTCTAGGTTGTCCAATTTGTTGGTGTATAATTGTTCTTAGTAATGTCTTACGATCCTTTTATTTATTCTCCCCTTTCATTTCTGATTCTACTTATTTAGGCCCTGTCTCTATTTTTTTTAATGAATATAACTGAAGGTTTATCAATTCTATTTATCTTTTCAAAGAACCAGCTTTTAGTTTCATTGGCCTTTTCAATTTTTTTTTAAGTCTCTATTTCATTTTTTTCCACTCTGATCTTTATTATTTCCTTCCTTCTGCTAACTTTGAGTTTTGTTTGTTCTTCTTTCTCTAGTTGCTTTATGTGTAAGGTTAGATTGTTTGAGGTTTTTCTTGTTTCATGAGGTAGGCCTGTATCACTATAAACTTTCCTTTTAGAACTGCTCTTGGCTGCATCCTATAGATTTTGGGATTTTGTGTTTTCATTTTCATTTGTCTCAGGGTATTTTTTGTTTCCTCTTTGATTTCTTCAGTGACCCATTGATTAGTTAGTAGTATGTTCTTTATACTCCATGTGTTTGTGTTTTTTCCAGTTTTCTTCTTGTAGTTGACTTCTAGTCTCATGCTGTTGTGGTCAGAAAATATGCTTGATGTGATCAATCTTCTTAAATTTATTGAGACTTGTTTTGTGGCCTAACATATGATCTCTCTTAGAGAATGTTCTATGAGAACTTGAAAAGAATGTGTATTCTGCTGTTTTTGGATGCAATGATCTGTATATATCTATTAAATTCATCTGGTCTAATGTGTCATTTAAGGCCAATGTTTCCTTATTGATTTTCTGTCTGGATGATCTATCCATTGATGTAAGTGGGGCATTAAAGTCCCCTACTATTATTGTATTACTGTCAATTTTTCCTTTTATGTCTGTTAATATTTGCTTTATATATTTAGATGCTTCTATGTTGGGTGCATATATATTTACAGTTGTTATATCTTCTTGATGGATTGACCCTTTTATCATTATATAATGACCGTCTTTGTCTCTGTTTCACCATTTTTAATGTAAAGTCTGTTTTGTCTTATATAAGTGTAGATACCCCTGGTTTTTTTCCACTACCATTTATTTGAACTATCTTTTTTTCATCTTTCACTTTCAGTCTATGTGTGTCTTCAGGCTAAAGTGAATCTCTTGTAAGCATAATATCATTGGATTGTATTTTTTAAATCCATTTAGCCATTCTATGTCTTTCATTGCAAAATTAAATCACTTACATTTAAAGTAATCATTGATAGATAAGGACTTAATATTGCCATTTTGTTAATTGTTTTCTAGCTGTTTTCTAGATCAATTATTTCTTGCTTCTTTTTTTTTAAAATTCAATTTATTTAAACTAAAAAAGTCAAAAGCATTTCACCAATTCTTTGTTGAGGATTTTTGCATCTTTGTTCATCAGGGATATTGCCCTGTAATTTTCTTATCTTGTAATGTCCTTATCTGGCTTTTGTATTAGTACTGGTAATGCTGGCTTCATAAAATGAGTTTGGAAGAGTTCTTTACTCTTCTGTTTTTGGAAGACTTTCCAAAGGTTTGGTATTAATTCTTCTTTGGATGTTTGGTAGCATTCGTCTGCTTTTGAACTCTTCATTTCTTGGTAGGTTTTTGATTACTGATTCAATCTCCTTACTAGTAATCTGTCTGTTCAGATTTTCTATTTCCTCATAATTTGGTCTTGGTATATTGTATATTTCTAGGAATTTATCCATTTCTTCTGGGTTATCCAATTTGTTAGCATATAATTGTTCATAGTAGTCTTTTATGATCCTTTGTATTTCTGTGGTATCAGTTGTAACATCTCCTCTTTCATTTCTGATTTTATTTGAGTCCTCTCTTTTTCTTGGTGTTTCTTGCTAAAAGTTTTCAATTTTATCTTTTCAAAGAACCAGCTCTTAGTTTCATTGATCTTTTCTATTGTCTTTTTAGTCTCTGTTTCCTTTATATCTGCTCTAATCTTTGTTATTTTCTTCCTTATACTAGCTTTGTTTGTTTGTTCTTATTTTCTAATTTCTTGAGGTGCAAAAATTAGATTTCTTGAGACTTTTCTTGTTTTTTGAGGTAGGTATTTATCGCTATGAGCTTTCCTCTTAGAACTGCTTTTGCTAAATCCCATAAATTTGGATATGTTACATTTCTAGTTTCATTTGTCTCTTTTTTTTAAATTTCTCTTTTCATTTATTCTTTGACCATTTGGTTGTTCAGTAGCATGTTGTTTAACCTCATAATTGTGAATTTTCCAGTTTCCTTCATGTAATTAATTTTTAATTTTATACCATTGTGATTGGGAAAGATGTTTAATATCATTTCAATCCTCTTAAATTTATTAAGACTTGTTTTGTGGCCTAACATATAATCTATCTTGGAAAATGTTCGATGTGCACCTGACAAGAATGTGTATTCTTTTGCTTTTGGATGGAGTGTTCTCTAAATATTTAAGTCCATCTGGTTAAATATATTGTTTAAGGTTGATATTTCCTTATTGATTTTCTGTCTGGATGAATCCATCCATTGATGTAAGAGGGGTATTAAAGTACCATATTATTATTGTATTGCTGTCTATTTCTCCTTTTAGGCCTGTTTATATCTGCTTTATGTATTTAGGTGCTTCTATATTGGGTGCATAAATATTTACAAACATTATATCTTCTTGTTGGATTGACCCCTTTATCATTATGTAATTTCCTTCTTTGTCTTTTATTACAGTCTTTGTTTTAAAGTCTATTTTGTCTGATACAAGTATAGCCTCTCTAGCTTTCTTTTGGTTTCCATTTTCATGGAATATCTTTTTCCATTCCTTCGCTTTTAGTCTCTGTGTGTCTTTACATCTAAAGTGAGTCTCTGGTAGGCAGCATATAGAGGGATCTTGTTTTTTAATCCATTCAGTAACTCTATGTCTTTTGCTTGGAGAATTTAGTTTATTTATTTAAAGCAATTATTGATAGGTATGTGCTTATTGCCATTTAATTGTTTTTTGGCTGTTTTTGTAGGTCCTCTCTGTTCCTTTCTTTTTCTCTTCCTCTCTTCCTTTATGGTTTGATGACTTTCTTTAGTGGTATGCTTAGATTCCTTTCTCTTTATATTTTGTATGTTTACTATAAGTTTTTGCTTTGTGATTACCGTGAGGCTTCCATTTAACAACTTATATCTATAACAGTCTATTTTAAGTTGTTAAGTTTGATCCCTTGTAAATTTGGTCTTGCTTCTTATCCTTCTATTTTTGTATTTTGATGTCTTTTGGTATCTGTATGCTTTGACATCTTTATCATGTCTTTCTATGTAATTACTAGAGGTTTTTCCTTTGTGGTTACCATGAGGATTATATAAAATATCTTAAAATTATAACACCCTATTTTAAACTGATAACAACTTAAGTTTGGTAGCATTCCTAAAATTTACATGTTTATGTCTTCCTCCATTCACATTTTATGTTATTGATATTGCAGTTTGCACTTTTTTTATATCATGTATCCAATAACAGCTTACTGTAGTTGTGGTTATTTTTACTATATTTGTTTTTTAACTGTTAAACTAGAGTTGTAAGTGAATTATGCACCATCATTATCTTATTACAGAATCTAACTTTTACCATATATTTACCTTTACTGGTGAGTTTTATGCTACCTTCTTATGTTTTTATGATGTTCATCACATCCTTTATGTCCATTCAAAGAATTCCCTTTAGTGTTTCTTGTAAGGCAGGTCTAATGGTGATAAACTCTTCAATTTTTTTTTTGTTTGTTTTCAGCCATTATTTCTTCAAATAATCTCTCTTCCCCTTTCTCTCTCTCTTTTCTTCTGGAAATCCCACAATGCATATTTTCATCTGCTTGATGGTGTCCCACAGGTACCTTAGGCCCTGTTCACTTTAATTCAGTCCTTTTTCTTTCTGTTCCTCAGACTTGATCATTTCAATTGTCCTACCATCAAATTCACTGATCCTTTTTTCTGCCTACTCAAATCTGCTTTTGAATCCCTCTGTGAATTTTTCATTTTAGTTATTGTATTTTTTCAATTCCAATTTTTTTCTCTTTTAAAATATTTGCCCTTTATTGATATTTCCATTTTGTTCATACATTGTGTTCTTGACATTTTCCACTTCTTGTTGTAGTTCTTTGAGCATTTTTAAGACAGTTGTTTTAAAGTCTTTGTTTAGTGAGTCTGCCATCCAGTTTTTCTCAGGGTCAGTTTCTGTTGATTTATTTTTACACTTGAATGGGCCATACTTTTCTATTTATTTGTATGCCTTGTAATTTTTTTGTGCAAAACTGGACATTCAAATCTGATAATGTCATAACTCTGGAGATTCTCCCCCTTCCCCAGAGTTTGCCATGTTTTTTTGTTTGTTTGATTGATTGATTGTTGTGGCTATCTCTGTGCTGGGGATTAGTCTGAGGTGTAAACTTAAGGTCTGCACCTCAATGATCAGAAGCAGCAATAGTGCTCAGAGCACAGATCCCCAATAGTTAGAGGACAGCTTCCTTATTGCCCACCCTGGCTCCCAAAAGCAGTGTGCTGGGTGCTCCAGGAACACATGTACAGCTGCCTCCCACTGGCCTAGGGACTTGGGGCTGGGTAGCTGCTACCATGCTTATTGCTGAAATTGACAGAAATTAATTGTAATTTACCATACAAGTCTTCCTTTGAAAATTGCAAGCCTTCAAGCAGACTCCATATTTACAAAATAGTTAGGTCAGACAGATATGCCAGTACAGTTTTTGTCCAGGTGGGGAGATGGATTTCTGGTACTTCTTACTTCTCCATCTTCCCCAAATCCTCCTTGTTTTGTTCTTTTTAAATAATATCTCTGTTGATATTCTCATTTTGTTTGTATATCATTTTCCTGATTTCTTTTAGTTCTTTGATCATATTTTACTTTATCTCTGAACATATTTAAGACAGTTGCTTTAAAGTCTTTAATAAGGCTGATGCCTGTGTTTGTTCAGGGACAGTTTCTAGATATTTATTTTGTTACTTTTTTTTTTTTTTTTTTTTGTGAGGAAGATCAGCCCTGAGCTAACATCCATGCTAATCCTCCTCTTTTTGCTGAGGAAGACCGGCTCTGAGCTAACATCTATTGCCAATCCTCCTCCTTCCCCCTCCGAAAGCCCCAGTAGATAGTTGTATGTCGTAGTTGCACATCCTTCTAGTTGCTGTATGTGGGACGCGGCCTTAGCATGGCCGGAGAAGTGGTGCGTCGGTGCGTGCCCAGGATCCGAACCCGGGCCGCCAGTATTTTGTTACTTTTAATAGACTATATTTTCCTGTTTCTCTGTATGCTTTGTGACTTTCTGTTGACAACTGGACATTTAAATAAGCAGATACCACTTCCAGTCTTTGCAGACTGGTGTGGAAGACCTTCACGAATTAGGAGGCCCTTGAGCTGTAGGATTAGCCCAGAGTGAAAGCTTAAGGTATACTCAATTCTTTTCTGGACATGTGTCCTTCCTGGGCTTGTGTGTGTACCTTTTTTGTTTTTTTTTGGTTTCTCTGTGCTTAAAAGTCTTAATTTCCCAAAGAGTCTCATCCCAGCTTCTTCTCAGCGCATTAGAGGTTTTACTGTCTTTCTCTGAACATAATCGCTTGCTCCCAGATGAACACAGGTCTGCATTTCCCCTGCAGTTTCCATGTGCCGTTGCCTGCCATGGCTCCTGCCACCTTGAGATCCAAACTATGAGCTCTGACTAAGGCAAGACAGAAACCAGTCCCTTTGGGAACCGATAGACAGGTTAGAATGTTGCAAATATTTTCTACTCTGCTTTTCTTGGCTTGAGGGAGGGAACTTGGAATTGTGCTACTTGCTCCCCACCACACTGTGCCATGCTGGGAAGGGGGTGAGACAAGGGCAAGTAAAAATGCCATGACATTTCCCACCATTTTGCTTATGGCCTGTCTTGAATGGGTGTTTGCTTGGTTGCTGTAGATCTTTGACTAGTTTCCAGAGCTCTTATAATGTTATTTTAGTCAATCTATAGTTTTTTTGTTTGTTTTCATCAGGGAACAAAGGACTAAAGCTTCCTAGTCTGCCATCTTGCTGATGTCACTCCTCAAAAATGATGTAAATCTTTGTCAAGTGTTGATTATCAATTAGTACCATTTTCCCCCTTAAATCTTAGCAATGGAAGGTACCTCTAGGAATTCCCATCTTCATTTCTTGCTTCTAAGTAAGACTGTACATAATAATGATACCTGTTAAAGAAAAATCTTGCCAATCCTTGAGCAAGTGTATATAAGCATGACACTAGGCCCTCTGAAATCTTTCTTTCTCCATCCCAGACCTATTTGAAATCAGGTTTCTCCATATTGGTGATGCAAACTCTAAAGGTAACAAATTGTGAAGATGAGTTTACAATCTACCTCATCAGCCAACCCGTGACTTGAACTCATCATCTTGGTCTTATTTTTCCCTTTTTGCCCTTTATCTAATCCCTTCAATTTCTACTTTGGATCACTCTCTGAAGTTACACCTCTGTGGTTCATCCTTCTTTTGCCAGGAAAGCATTAAATTCAATTTTGTTTTCAGCCTTCCATTTGACCACCCTTGTTCATTTTGCTTCTTACATGCCTCATATCTTCATAGCACTTTCACTGCTACTATCCCATTTGATTCTTACAGCCATTGGTTATAAAACTTTATCCAGGGCCTTTAAGGTCAATCACTTTATCCTTCCCCTCTGAAGCAAATATGATGTGTTCCACATACTTTGGAAATAGGAAACATAATCTTGCAGTATAATGGTTAAATTATGAAAACCAACGTGTATTATCAAAACAGAACCTGTTTTTCTGTCCAAATCTTAAATTTAGGATTTCCTGTTCATCTTTTGATTTCATTATACAAATGCTCTCTGGGTAATTACTTAGAAAATGTTTTTATTTTAAAATAATTCTAGACCTACAGACAAGTTACAAAAATAGTACAAAGACTTTCCATATACCCATTATCATGGAGTTCCTTCTAGGGTTTCCATCTTGCTTATCTATAACTTCTCTCTCCAACAGTGAGAAACCTAGCTCCTACTCTCCATCATCCTGGTATTTATTTGTCCCACCTCAGTACACATGTAAAGTATGTTTAGGATTATTAATCTGTACTCCTGCAAGAAACAAATTTGACTGCAGTTCAGTGTTTATATGCATCATTTTGTCTTGAATATCACAGTTTCTAGTGTGATTTGATTTTTTTTCAATCGATATTATGTTCTTGAAACATTTAAAGGTAATTATTAAGAAAAGAATATTGATATATTATAGATATATTGAGTTCTCTCTTGATTCTAAGTAAAACTTTCCCTAATAATCCCACTAATATTACTTTCAAATATATTAAATATATCATCTTATTTAATATTCACACCCATAGAGACAATTTTTGTAAAGCATTTTCCATAGTTCTGATGATAATAATTAGGTAACATTTTTGGTGCCAGACACTGTCCCAGGACTCTACTTTTATTATCTCATTTAATCTCCTTTAAAACATTTTTTCAGTTTCATTTTAGCCTCACCAATAGGAATAATTTATATGAAGCTAGAATTTGCCTCAATGTGAAGACTCATTTCCGACAGTGAGAGACTTCCTACAATCGAGAGCATCAGATCACTGTCACTAGACGTACTTAAGTAGAGGCCAAATGATCATCTCTCAAATATCAAGTTGTAAAAGGAATTCTTCATGGAGTAGAATTAGATGTTGTGTATAATTTGTGACAACACATGCTCTGAACTCTAGTGCTGTTTAAAGAAATATATTCCACAGAATGAAGGTAGATAAAGTGGGATAAAATGTTATCATCTTCCACCTAGGTCTCACATTTTTCAAAGCAAATTACTATGCTGATGGAGCACATATGTATTTGGCTTTAAAATTTATGTATCACTGACAGGCAACAAGGATATGACAGAGAAATGACTTTGAATCTGTCTCTGGGATCCACAATGACTGTATACTATATTCTGAGCTCCTATATGTGAAGGATTAAATACTGAAATGTAGAAATTTAAATGCCTATTGATTTTTTTTCACTGAAGCAGTAGTCTATCAACATAAGCACTCTTTGAAATGGTGCAATAATTTTGGATTCTTGAAAAAAATCTAATTAAATACTTGAATATTATTTCACTTAGTTTTATTTCATTTGGGTTTTCAAGTAGGTAAGGTACCAAAAAATTAATTAATAAGATTTAGAAATATTAGAAGCCATTAAAATATTTTAACAAATCTTCACATAAAGAGAGACACATGATTAGATGATAACAATGAAAATCCATCAATCTCAGGGCCACAAGAGAAGTCAAGACAACATAAAGTTCCTGGACTACTAACTCACTCAATGTTTACAAATTTTTTTCTCTTATTCTTTCCAATGCCCCTTTTAACACTAGTATCAATTAAACTTGATATTCATTAATAACACTCCCACACAGAATAAGTTCTTTGAGTTTATAACTTTCATAGTTTAGCTAGAGCTAGTAGTATGATTTGTAGGCTCACCAGGTTTAATAAATATTATATAAATAATAAAGACTTGACTTTGTTCTGATCAATGAATTTCCAGTTTTACTAGAAAAAAACTAAAGCAAGATATTTTCTTTTCTAAATTCAATTCCTTTACCTGGAAGTTTAAGAAATGTATGAAGGTGACTTTTCTCTGTATAGTATCATACAGGATAGATTTGTAAGTAATATGACACAAATAATCATGACATTATCAAAACATGCTGAGCACAAATTTCTTTTAATTGCTTTTACACCACAGCAGAAGGCATTACAGGGACATCAGTGATTAGAAGCAAGCTGAACTTCAATAAGGAGCTCCTTCCTTAACATCAGCAACAAAGAGGATTTGATCGTAGAGTTTCAACTTTGTTCCACATAGTGAAGAAGAGTTCTGAAAAATAAACCAAGTAATTGTAAATTTCATTTACTTCAACCTTTAATACACACACAAGCATTTCTGAAACTTTCAGTTTTGTGCATTTCTTGTTATTAGAGTACATTTCACACTAATTTCATGGCATTTTTCAAAATATTATCTAGAGCTTTTGGTTTTCAAAATCTATGATCTTTCTCTCAATACTAAAAAGTTCATTTTAGCTGAACATTGACAAAGACTCCCTCCTTAAGCAAACTTCAATTAAGGCCTCTTTTTAACTAGACCTCATCCTTGGCTCTGTCCTTGGCCTGCTGTCAGCAAGAATACTGTCAGGCTAATTTAGCAGGAATCCCCCTACCCCTGATGCCTCCTCTTAGTAATTTTACATCCATTGACCCCCCCCCACACTCTGCTCATTGGGTATAAATCCCCAGCCATCTTTGCTATATTTGGAGTTGGGTTCAATCTCCCTCCCTTATTGCAATAGTCTTGAATAAAGTCTTTATTACCATTTTTAACAAATATCAGGATAATTTTTTTTAACAACATTGTGAGACTTGCTCTTATAGACTTTGGCCTTGTGGTGGGATATATATTAGAGATTAAAATCCTGGACTTTAAAGTCCGATTGTATGGGTTCCCATCCTTTATCTGCTGCTTATGTGCTGTATGTCCTTGAGCAATTTAGATGAACTTGTGTCTTTGATCCTCAGATGATGAA